TATGTCTGTGGTGTAGGGTATATTATATATATATCTGTTTGGTGTTTGTTTATTTTACTTTTTCATTTGTTTATTTACATTGGGCATAGTTCATGTCTTATCTATATATTTCATGTTATATTTTATCATTGTTTTTAATAACAGTTATCGTAATCTTATTTAATTTATTAATATCTGTTGTAGAGCCTACGAAATAATATACAGTATATGATATATATCTTATATTAATATATTATACAATTATAATATATATAATAATATATATATCTCTCATTGACCTATATTATATATACTTATTAACCCAAATTCCAAATATTCTGAGACCTGAGTTCATTTTAACATTATCTATTAACTTATAATATAATAGCTGATAATTAGGAGAAATATTTTAATTAGTTGTGAATTAGTTATAATATTTATCAGTTATATCCTTAATATCGTAGAAAAAGCGAAAAAACCTATCTACAACATGCACGTCAATTTTATATACTGAGAGTTTTGCCACGAGTATGATTATGCTCAAACTATTGTACACTTACACTCTCATCCTTCATGTCTAATAAACACCAAAGTAGAATTTACATTAAACCACATTGATGATAAAGTACAAATATAATGTATAAATCTATTTATTACTACACCCTGAATTTACGGTAAAATAAATTAGAATAAGTATCACGTAAGTGACTTAGATGAATATTTATTACAGTTTACCAAAATTCATAAGAGTAATTACACATATTAGGATCCATACTACTCTGTTACACTCGTAATATCGAATCATTTGATAATGATTAGACGTACAATAGTATATATGATATTACAATTTTATTGTCAAGTTACATATAATAATTAATAATAGTATAATTACATAAATTTATAAATAAAATATACTTTAGTGGATGAATAATAGCGAATTAATGAAATTACGAATTATATAAATACTGTAATTATTAAACTTGTTTTTTTTTCACCCGAGGCTCGTGATAATATTAATTAAAGCTTTATATATATACTTGATCCCTATCCTCAAGGTTCGAGATGAGAGGAACATGTGACCAGGAGGGCGATAGTAACAACACATTAAAATCACCATATGACGATACATTAGGAACTGCACATTCGCCGCTGTTGGTCTGTATAAAGAGTTATCTAGAGCGAATTTCGGACCTGTTCACAATTTAAGGCAACATAGTGTGCAGAAATTTAACAAGTAATGAGATCTCTATTGAACTTATAATGAATGTAGGTAATGTAAGATGATAATGTATGTGATGTACTTACATAATTTACTGTCATGGATAAAAAAGTGAAAAAAGAGCAAATTAATCAACGTAGGATAAACTCGTTTGTTAGTATAAAGTTATTTCATTAATTTTTGAGAAAAAATGATATAAGCACACTAATATAGGCATATATGATCTTAATCTCATAATACTTACAACATATTCAGGCAACAAATAATCAGTATAGTTCTTATACTCACAAAACAATCATCGCATTTATTTTATAGAGATGTGATTCAGATCACCAAACGCTTTTGTATGCTTGCTACCAACACACTCACCACACACACGCACGCAAACACACATATATACAAATAAAAATTTGTTTATTAACATATTATTGTTAATTAATTATTCATTAGTTAACGTTTCATTATTTATTAATTATTGATTATTATTCCATACATACTTAATCACACACACTACACAGCACAATACTACATTCAGCGTATATTTCACACATACAATTACATATCATCATTAATTATTATTATTATTATTATTATTATTATTGTTCATTTATTGTTATGATTAGTTATTATTAATTTATTATTATTATTATTATTATATAATTGTTATTTAATCATCATCATCATCATCATCGAAATCCATCAATCATCATCCAAATAATCAACTACTATTATAACTACCACGCGACTATAACACACCACACACACACACAAATTCACACTACTCCGATATCTTATCCCTCAATGTACCTTAATTATTATTATTATCCCAGGCAACGATCCCACCGACTAATTTTATGTCCCAGGGTAAAACTACGTACAAGAGATACGAGAGCTTTAGCCCATCAACATACTATACAACCCAAGTTGCGGAGATGAATATGCGTTCGACGCGAGTGCCTGAACCAGGCGAGGCGGCCGCTAGTGCAGGTGTACTTGGATGCTTCTGTGCTGCTGACCCACGGGAGCGTTCGGATGGGCCAGGGTCCTGCACACCAAGGATCCTAACAGGTGGGTTTTTATTCGAGTGAGGATGTTTGATAAGTCTAGATTAGGTTAATGGTGTATTTAGGTAATTTATAGAATTTTTTTTTTTTATTTTGAGGGGGGGGAGTAGGGTTTAGGTATGTTTTATAATTTTTTTATATATATAGAGTGGGTTTTTAAGTCTTCGGAGGCTAGTTGCGCATTTTTGTAATTGGACGTTACTTCACTGTCCTGTCTCTGGTTCTGTCTCTGTCTCTGTCATCTGTCCTCTGTCTCTGTCTCTGTCTCTGTCTCTGTCTCTGTCTCTGTCCTCCGTCTCCGTTCCGTCTCGTCTCCGTCTCCCGAGTCTCCGTCTCCGTCTCCTGAGTCACTCTCTCTCTCCGAATTAGTATCATTATCTCTCCTCTGCATTACTATATCTCTATCATCGTCTAATACTATTCATCTTACTTATACTCTCGTCGTCCCATACTTGAGTCATATTACATATAATTATATATAACTCTCTATCGTACTCTTCATCTCTCTTTACTCATTCTCTCTAGCATCTATCTCTCATATATTATTCTCTATATTATATCACTTATTCTCATACGTACTTTATCGCCTGTCTGTCTTATAGTCTCTGTTACTTTGTCTCAACCTTTTGATCTCCTCCACCCCTCTCTATTAGTCCATACTTTTCCTAACTCTGCGCATATGCGCAGTGCGTACGTATCTTCAGCGACTTTATTAATTATATATATAATGGTTGCTCACCTCCTTTTCTTCTTCTTCTTCTTCTTCATCGTATTATTATTATTATTATTCATTATTATTATTATTATATTATTATTATTATTATTCTCCTCCTCCCCTCTCGCTCTCCTCCTCCTCCTCCTCCTTCCTCCTCCCTCCTCCTCCTCCCCTCCTTCCCCCCCTCCCCTCCCTCCCCTCCCTCCTCCCCTCCTCCTCCTCCTCCCCCTCCCCCCCTCCCTCCCCCCTCCTCCGTCCTCTCCTCCCCCCCTCGACCTCCCTCTTCTTCTTCTTTCCTCCTCCTCCTCCACCGTTTTTTCCTCTTCCTCCTCCTCCTCACCTCCTCTTCCTCCTCCTCCTCCTCCGCCCCTCCCCTTCCCCTCCCCCTCCTCCCCCCTCCCTCCTCTCCTCCTTCCTCCCCCCCCTCCTCCTCCTCTCCTCCTTACCTCCTCCCCCCCTCCACCCCTCTCTCCTCCTCCTCCCCTCCTCCCCTCTCCTCCCCTCACTCCTCCTCACTCCTCCTCCACCGCTCCAGCTCCTCCTCCTCCTCCCCCTCCCTCCTCCTCGCTCCTCCCCCCCTCCCCTCCCCGTCCTCCTCCTCCTCCTCCTCCTCCTTCCCCCCCTCCCCTCCTCCTCCTCCTCCTCCCCCCTGCCCCTCCTCCTCCCCTCTCCCCTCCCTCTCCTTCCTCCTCCTCCTCCTCCTCCTCCTCCCCTCCTCCTCCTCTCCTCCTCCTCATCTCCTCCTCCTCCTCCTCCCTCCCCCCTCGCCCTCCTCTTCTTTCTTCTCCTCCTGCCTCCTCCTCCTCCTCCTCCTCCTCCTCCTCCTCCTCCTCTCCTCCTCCTCCTCCTCCTCCTGGCTTACGTATCATTCCTTCCACAGATCGCAGCTCAGGTTCTCAACATCCCCATTGAAAACATTCACATCATGGACACAGCAACAGACAAAGTACCCAACACATCTCCAACGGCTGCTTCGATCTCCACTGACGTCAACGGAATGGCGGTCATGGTAAGCGGTAACTGTAACGTATCCAAAAAAGGCGCGACTTCGAATGTTATAAAAAAAAAAAGAAAGTGGATTCGTCTAGAACGTATCCAGAAAAGGCGCGACTTCGAGTGTTACAAACTAAAGAAAAGTGGATCGTCTACAACGTATCCAAAAAAGGCACGACTTCGAGTGTTACAAACTAAAGGAAAGTGGATTCGTCTATTACGTATCCATTAAAGACGCGACTTCGAGTGTTATTAAAAAAGAAAAGTGGATTCGTCTATAACGTATCCAGAAAAGGCGCGACTTCGAATGTTATTAAAAAAGGAAAGTGGATTCGTCTATAACGTATCCAAAAAAGACGCGACTTCGAGTGTTATATAAAAAAAGAAAAGAAAAAGTAGATTCGTCTAGAATGTGTTAAAAAAGATGCGATTTCGAGTTGCTTAAGAATAAGTGGATTCATTTTGAAAAGATATGGAGGACAATGAATATTCCTTCGAAGATAATCATTCTCATGCATACATTTTCCTACATCTGTTTAGATTTAAATTCTTGTGTACATACGATTCAATCAAATAACCGACATAACAAGATTTGGGCATTGGTCTGTCAGATTTATGCAAATAAGATAGTCTTTGTCGTTAATTTTAAGCTCTTTGTTGTTAATGAACGTAATGTCTTGCTCTTTCTTGCCAATATAAGAATGTCTTGTTCTTTCTTATTAATGTAAGAATGTCTTGCTCTTTCTTGTCAATGTAAGAATGTCTTGCTCTTTCTTATTAATGGAAGAATATCTTGCTTTTTCTTGCCAATATAAGAATATCTTCCTCTTTCTTGTCAATATAAGAATGTCTTGCAATCTCCTTTCTTATTGATGTAAGAATGCCTTGCTCTTTCTTGTTAGAGAGAGAGATAGAGATAGAGATAGAGATAAGATGAGAAGAGATAGAGAATGAGAGAGAAGATGTGAGAGAGATGATGTCTTGCTCTTTCTTATTGATGTAAGAATGTCTTGCTCTCCGCACAGAACGCGTGCGAGGAGCTGAAGGCACGCCTGAAACCCTTCGTCAAGAGAGACCCAGCAGGTACGTGGAAGACCTGGGTGAGGGCAGCCTACAACGAGCGAGTGTCTCTTTCTGCCACGGGATTCCATCGGTATTCCTTCGCTGACGTTTGGGGGGGGGGTCCTTTTGGGGTGGTTGTGGGGAACTGTATTATTTGTCTGTCTGTAACTGTGTGATGTCTGTCTGTCTGTCTGTCTGTCCCTGTCTCTGTCTCTGTCTCTGTCTCTTTCTCTCTTCTCTTTTCTCTTCTTCTCTCTCTCTCTTCTCTCTCTTCTCTCTCTCTCTCTCTCTCTCTCTCTCTCTCTCTCTCTCTCTCTCTCTCTCTCTCTCTCTCTCTCTCTCTCTTCTCTCTCTCTCTCTCTCTCTCTCTCTCTCTCTCTCTCTCTCTCCCTCCCTCCTCCCCTACCCTCTCCCTCTCCCTCCTCTCCCTCCTCCTCCTCCCCCTACCTCCCTCTCCCTCTCCCTTCCCTTTGCCTTTCCCTCTCCCTCCCTCCCTCTCCTTCCCACCCTCTCCCCACCCCCAAATCTACCAAATCCACCCCTAACCCACCCGACCCACCCGACCCCCCCCGACCCGACCCACCCCGGCAGTGCATTCTCCTCACCCTTTCAAACCCTTCCCCTCCGCAGCATAGAGGAAGTGACCGATTTCGACTTCGACACGATGTCAGGTCAACCCTTTCACTACTACTGCAACGGCGCTGCGGTCACGGAGGTGGAGGTGGACTGTCTCACCGGCGATCACACAGTAAGGCTCCCTCCGTGTTTGTGTGTGTGGTGTGTGTGTGTGTGTGTGTGTGTGTGTGCGTGCGTGTGTGTGTGTGTGTGTGTGTGTGTTTGTGTGTGGTGCGTGTGTGTGTGTGTGTGTGTGTGGTGTGTGTGTGCGCGCGCGTGTGTGTGTGTGTGTGTGTGTGTGTGGTGTGTGTGTGTGTGTGTGTAAGAGTTAGTGAGTGAGTGAGTGAGTGAAGAGAGAGAGAGAGAGAGAGAGAGAGAGAGAGAGAGAGAGAGAGAGAGAGAGAGAGAGAGAGAGAGAGGAGGAGAGAGAGAGAGAGAGAGAGAGAGAGATGTGTGTGTGTTGTGTGTGTGTGTGTGTGTGTGTGTGTGTGTGTGTGTGTGTGGTGTGTCGTGTGTGCGTGTGTGTGTGCGTGCGTGTGTGTGGTGTGTGTGTGTGTGTGTGTGTGTGTGTGTGTGTGTGTCTGTGTGTGTGTGTGTGTGTGTGTGTGTGTGTGTCTGTGTGTGTGGTGTGTGTGTGTGTGTGTGTATGTGTCTCGTCTGTTTGGCGTTCTGCTGGTGAAGAAGGAATGACTGGTGTGTATCTGTGGTGCTTGGTATGTTTGGTATCGGTCTGTGGATCTGGTGTGTCTGTTGTGTATCTATGGGATCTGGGTATGTATTTGGTATGTCTGGTGTGTATCTGTGGTGTCTGGTATGCTTGGTATAGGTCTGTGGTATCTGGTGTGTTTATTGTGTATCTGTGGTATATGGTATGTATGGTGTGTATCTGTGGTATCTGGTATGCTTGGTGTAGGTCTGTGGTATGTCTGGTATGTATGTGCGGTATCTGGTATGTCTGATGTGTATCTGTGGTATCTGGTACGCATGGTATAGGTCTGTGGGATCTGGTATGCCTGGTATGTATCTGTGGTAACTGATGTGCTTGGTGTATGTCTGTGGTATCTGGTATGTCTGGTGAGTATCCATGGTATATAGTATGCTTGGTATAGGTCTGTGGTATCTGGTATGTCATTGCATATAAGGTGGTGTGTGTGTTTTTTGTCTTGATTTAAGTTTTCATCTATTTCATTATTCTTGTTTGTCCTTTTTTATGGTTTATTGGGTATTATAAAACGCTCTTGATTTCGAAAAATAAAAAGGACAACCAAAGAAAACTACAATAGGATACGAAAGAAACAAAAAAAGAAAGAAAAAAGACAAAGAATAAAAAAAAGTATAGAATAAGTGAATAGAAATAAATGTAAGGAAAAACAACTAATAAAGACACGAGAAAATAAATATGAAACAAACACTCACCAAATAGTAAAGAAAAAATGAAAAGATACAGAATGATAGAAAAAAAACAAAATCGTAAAAATAAACTGGAATATGGAATAACTGATTAGATATAAATATAGGAAAAAGCCCAAGGACACAAGACAATAAAAGTAAACTAAAATAAAGAATCCAAAAAGTAAAAAAAAAAGAAAAAAAAAAAAACATACGAGAAAAAAAATAAAAGAAAAATAAACTCCCTCCCCAGAATAAAAAAGTAGAATAACTGAATAGAAATAAATGTAAAAAAAACTAAGACCACAAGAAAAAAAAAACTAAAACAACTAAATAGAAAAGAGAGAGAGAGAAAGAAAAAAAAAATAACAGAAAAGAAAGACAATTCATCCAAAAAGCTCCTTTAAAAAAAAAAAAAAAAAAAAAATATATATAAAAAATAATAATAATTCATCAAAAAAATCGAGTAAAGAGAGAAAAAAAACAAACAAACAAAACAAAAAAAACAATTCATCAAAAAGCTCCCTCAAAAAGCAAAAAAAAAAAAAAAATAATAAAAAAAAATAAATAAATAAATAAAATAAATATAATAATTCACAAAAAAATAATACCTTCCACCCCCTATCCCCCCCATTACCCCCCAGATCCTGCGCACGGACATCGTGATGGACGTGGGCCAGTCCCTGAACCCCGGGCTCGACGTCGGCCAAGTGGAGGGCGCCTTCGTGCAGGGCGTCGGTCTCGTCACCCTGGAGGAGCTCAGGTACTCCCCCGAGGGCTCGCTGCTCACGCGGGGCCCCGGCGCTTATAAAGATCCCAGGTGAGTCGCCAGGGGGAGGGGTGGGGGGAGGGGTCCCAGGTGAGTCGCCAGGGGGGTCTCGTCACCCTGGAGGAGCTCAGGTACTCCCCCGAGGGCTCGCTGCTCACGCGGGGGCCCGGCGCTTATAAGATCCCAGGTGAGTCGCCAGGGGGAGGGGTGGGGGGAGGGGGGTCCCAGGTGAGTCGCCAGGGGGGTCTCGTCACCCTGGAGGAGCTCAGGTACTCCCCGAGGGCTCGCTGCTCACGCGGGGGCCCGGCGCTTATAAGATCCCAGGTGAGTCGCCAGGGGGAGGGTGTGGGGGGTCGGGGGGGTGGGGGGTCCAGGTGAGTCGCCAGGGGAGGGGATGGGGGTGGGGTCCCAGGTGAGGAGTGGGGCCCAGGTGAGTCGCCAGGGGGAGGGGTGTGGGGGGGGGTCCCAGGTGAGTCGCCAGGGGGTCTCGTCACCCTGGAGGAGCTCAGGTACTCCCCCGAGGGCTCGCTGCTCACGCGGGGGCCCGGCGCTTATAAGATCCAGGTGAGTCGCCAGGGGGAGGGGGGGGGAGGGGGTCCCAGGTGAGTCGCCAGGGGGGTCTCGTCACCCTGGAGGAGCTCAGGTACTCCCCCGAGGGCTCGCTGCTCACGCGGGGGCCCGGCGCTTATAAGATTCCCAGGTGAGTCGCCAGGGGGAGGGGTGGGGGGAGGGGGGTCCCAGGTGAGTCGCCAGGGGGTCTCGTCACCCTGGAGGAGCTCAGGTACTCCCCCGAGGGCTCGCTGCTCACGCGGGGGCCCGGCGCTTATAAGATCCCAGGTGAGTCGCCAGGGGGAGGGGGGGTCCCAGGTGAGTCCGCCAGGGGGGTCTCGTCACCTGGAGGAGCTCAGGTACTCCCCGAGGGCTCGCTGCTCACGCGGGGGCCCGGCGCTTATAAGATCCCAGGTGAGTCGCCAGGGGGAGGGGTGTGGGGGGGGGGGGGGTGGGTCCCAGGTGAGTCGCCAGGGGGTCTCGTCACCTGGAGGAGCTCAGGTACTCCCCCGAGGGCTCGCTGCTCACGCGGGGGCCCGGCGCTTAAAGATCCCAGGTGAGTCGCCAGGGGGGGTGGTGGGGGGTGGGGTCCAGGTGAGTCGCCAGGGGGGTCTCGTCACCCTGGAGGAGCTCAGGTACTCCCCGAGGGCTCGCTGCTCACGCGGGGGCCCGGCGCTTATAAGATCCCAGGTGAGTCGCCAGGGGGAGGGGTGGGGGAGGGGGGTGGGGGTCCCAGGTGAGTCGCCAGGGGGAGGGGGTCCCAGGTGAGTCGCCAGGGGGGTCTCGTCACCCCCTGGAGGAGCTCAGGTACTCCCCCGAGGGCTCGCTGCTCACGCGGGGGCCCGGCGCTTTAAGATCCCAGGGAGTCGCCAGGGGAGGGTGTGGGGGGGGGGGGGGTCCAGGTGATCGCCAGGGGAGGGGTGGGTGGGGGTGGGTCCAGGTTGAGTCGCCAGGGGGATCTCGTCAGCCTGGGAGGAGTCAGGTACTGGCCCGAGGGCTCGCTGCTCACGCGGGGGCCCGGCGCTTATAAGATCCCAGGTGAGTCGCCAGGGGGAGGGGGGGGGAGGGGGGTCCCAGGTGAGTCGCCAGGGGGGTCTCGTCAGCCTGGAGGAGCTCAGGTACTCCCCGAGGGCTCGCTGCTCACGCGGGGCCCCGGGCTTGTATAGATCCCAGGTGAGTCGCCAGGGGGGGGTTGGGGGGAGGGGGGTCCAGGTGAGTCGCCAGTGGGGTCTCGTCACCTGGAGGACCAAGGTACTCCCCCGGGCTCGCTGCTCAACGCGTGGGGCCCGGGCGCTTATAAGATCCAGGTGGAGTTCCCGCCCGGGGAGGGGGAGAATAAGGGGAGAGGGATGGATTAGGAAACAGAAACACAACACAACAAGACAAAAAATATAAAGATGAAATCAAAAAGCGGGGCAAGTGAAAAGACAACAGGACCACAACACTGTACCTACGGACCATAAAGCGTGTTAACATGTGTATGGCATACCTTACAAGTGTCAGGGAGTCGACCAGGGGTTCGTCAGCCTGGAGAGCTCAGGTACTTGCCCCCCCCGAACTCGCACGGCCGCCAACAAATAAAACAGATTTTCTTTAAAAAATGAATAAATTAGTATGGAACAAAATAATAAGGACAAAAATTCCCCACAATAAATAAATGAATTAAGAAATGAAACATAAAATTAAACAAAACGAAAAAAAACAGGGAGGAACACCAAAAGAAAGGAGAAAGAAAGGAAAACAAAACAACATCCCTCTTTCCACTTCTATACACTTGTCATGGCAACAGCAAAGGGATTCCTGCTGCCAATGCCCACCAACGAAGAAGAAAATGCTATAATACAACCAGATCAGAACATTGAATATTTCCGAATCTGCATTTTCCGGCCACAATTTTTCGGGGAAACTTGGGAGATCGATCTTGCGTCGAAGGAAATTTGCGCCGGAGGTCTCGCGTAGAGTGGGCGGGGCGTTTTTTTTTTTTTTTTTTTTTATTATTTTGTTTTTTTCTTCTTTATTGGTTTGTCTTGTTGTTATATAATATATATATATTATATATATATATATATATATATATATAATATAATATATTTATATTATATTATATTATATATATTATATATATATAATATATATATATATATGCCTATATATATATGATATAGTGTACGGGGCTACACGGTAGTAGTATATTTATTATATATACAAGTAATATTATTACTATACCATAGTAGTGTAAGTCTCGCTATACATGAGAGTATATGGTGTAAGCATGAGTGAGGTATGTTATATAATATATATGAGGTGATAATATAGGTATGGGGGTTTCACTATAAACAAGAGTATTATAAATTATAGAGTATATTATCGACTAAAATGGATATATGTGAGTAGGTATCTTCAGTATACCGCTGGAATAATATGTAAGTCATCTTAGTAAATATAGTATATAGAGTAATCTAGTCTATATATATAGTAATTATAACTACCCTACCGAGGTATATATATATATATAATAAGTTCCATATTTCAGCTATGACTACACGCGGGGGCCCAGGTGTCAGTATACTATTTACAATATAGATTACCGCAAGGTGATGATAGTCGCTACAGGGTGAGGGGTATAGGTGTTGAGAGGGGTATTAGTAGGTAGTATATAGTATATTCTACCTTATTTGTGGGTTGGAAGTTTTGTTGCTCGGTTGTGTGTGTGTCGGGTGTAGGGTGTGTGGTGCTGCTGTTCGGTTGGGTGCAAGCCGTTTGTGTGTCGGGTTGGTATGGTGGTGGTTGTGTGAGCTTTTGGTAGGTTGGTGGGTGGCACTAATCTCCACTCTTCTACTTCTATCCTGTCGTAATGGCCTATGCTTCATAATCTATGACATGCTATCAACATAGGAACTAGGGATAGAGTGGCGGAATCCGGAAGTAGACAGACTAGGAAATAAATGACTAGCATATGGGAGTGATAGTCGATAAATACGACTAGATAATGAGAAGAGTAAGTAGATAGAGTAGATAAGGTAGTAGGGTGTGGCAGGGGGATTAAGGAGTTAGAGTGAGTAGGAGGTAGATTAGGGAGTAAATTAGGACTAGACTACGGAAGTAAGTAGTATCGCCAGGGGGTAGACATATAGCTATACTAGATCATCATCACAGATTAGAATAGATAATAGATAATTAGGATAGTAGATAAGGATAGATAGATAGGATAGATAGATAGATTAGATACGGGTAGTAATAGGAATAAGAGAGTACGAGTCAGTACATGAGATAGAGTAGATACGATAGGATAGATAGGAATGGATGGGATGATATAGATAATAATAGAACTAGCTCACCGAAGGGCTCTGTCGATATGCTTAAATATATAGATGGGATACCTAAACTATATACCATGATAGATGATGAAGATACCATACATAATACATAATACATAGAAAAACGACAGAACCAGGAGGAGTGAGAGAGAGAATGAAGAGGAGAGAGAGAGAGAGAGAGAGAGAGAGAGAGAGAGAGAGGAGAGAGAGAGAGAGAGAGAGAGAAGAGAGAGAGAGAGAGAGGAGAGAGAGAGAGAAGAGAGAGTAGGAGAGAGAGAGATGAGAGATGCCGAGAGAGAGAGAGAGAGAGAAGAGAGAGAGGAGAGAGAGAGAGAAAGAGAGAGAAGGAGAAGAGAGAGAGAGAGAGAGAGAGAGAGAGAGAGAGAGAGAGGAGAGGAGGACAGACAGACAGAGACAGAGAAGAGAAGAGAGAGAGACATAGAGAGAGACAGAGAAGAGACAGAGACAGAAAGGTAGACACACGCCGCACGACGAGACAGGAAGAGAAGAGACAGAGACAGAGACAGGAAGAGACAGAGACAAAGCAGAGACAGAGACAGAGACAGAGACCGAGACAGAGACGAGACAGAAGAATGAGAGAGATAGAGAGGAGAGAGGAGTCCGAGGGAGTGCCGGCATGTTTAGTATGTAATGGAAGTGGCGTATTTCTCAGGAAATCACCGTGACTCTCTCATGCATGGTTGATAACTGTTTAGATAGGAACGTCATGTCAGAGGGATGCTGAAGGAGGATGCCTTGTGAGGGGCACGGCGGCTTACAGATCCGCAAGGGTGAAAGTCGCCAGGGGAGGGGTGTTGGGGGGGTGGGGGTGGGGGTCCCAGGTGAAGTCGCAGAGGGGGTCTCGTCAGCCTGGAGGAGCTCAGGTCTTCCCCCGAGGGCTCGCTGCTACTTGCGGGGGCCCGGCGCTTAACAATGATCCCAGGTGAGTCGCCAGGGGGAGGGGTGTGGGGGTGGGGTCTCCCAGGTGAGTCGCCAGGGGGGTCTCGTCACCTTGGAGGGAGCTCAGGTACTCCCCGAGGGCTCGCCTGCTCACGCGGGGGCCCCGGCGCCTTATAAGATCCAGGTGAGTCGCCAGGGAGGGGGTGGAGGGTGGGGGTGGGGTCCCAGGTAAGTCGCCAGGGGGGTCTCGTCAGCCTGGAGGAGCTCAGGTACTCCCCGAGGGCTCGCTGCTCACGCGGGGCCCGGCGCTTACAAGATCCCAGGTGAGTCGCCAGGGGAGGGGTGTGGGGGGTGGGGGTCCCAGGTGAGTCGCCCCAGGGGGTCTCGTCACCCTGGAGAGCTCAGGTACTCCCCGAGGGCTCGCTGCTCACGCGGGGGCCGGCGCTTATAAGATCCAGGTGAGTCGCCAGGGGGAGGGGTGGGGGGGTGGGGGGGGTCCAAGGGGAGGGAGTCCCAGGTGAGTCGCCAGGGGGAGGGGGTGTGGGGTGGGGTGGGGGTGGGGGTCCCAGGTGAGTCGCCAGGGGGGTCTCGTTCACCCTGGAGGAGCTCAGGTACTCCCCCCGAGCGCTGCTCACGCGGGGGCCCGGCGCTTATAAGATCCCAGGTGAGTCCGCAGGGGGAGGGGTGGGGGTGGGGGGAGGGGGGTCCCAGGTGAGTCGCCAGGGGTTTCGTCACCCTCTGGAGGAGCTCAGGTACTCCCCGAGGGCTCGCTGCTCACGCGGGGGCCCGGCGCTTATAAGATCCCAGGTGAGTCGCCAGGGGGAGGGGTGGGTGGGAGGGGGGTCCCAGGTGAGTCGCCAGGGGGGTCTCGTCACCCCTGGAGGAGCTCAGGTACTCCCCGAGGGCTCGCTGCTCACGCGGGGGCCCGGCGCTTATAAGATCCCAGGTGAGTCGCCAGGGGGAGGGGTGGGGGGGGTGGGGGTGGGGGTCCCAGGTGAGTCGCCAGGGGAGAGGGGGTGGGGGGGGGGGTGGGGTCCCAGGTGAGTCGCCAGGGAGAGGGTGAGTTCGCCCAGGGGAGGGGTGGGGGAGGGGGGTCCCAGGTGAGTCGCCAGGGGGTCTGTCACCCGTGGAGGAGCTCAGGTACTCCCCGAGGGCTCGCTGCTCTCACGCGGGGGTTCCGGGCTTACAAGATCACCAGGTGAGTCGCCAGGGGGAGGGTGGGGGGGGGGGGGTCCCAGTGAGTCGCCAGGGGGGTCTCGTCCAGCCTGGAGGAGCTCAGGTACTCCCGAGGGCTCGCTGCTCACGCGGGGGCCCGGCGCTTACAAGATCCCAGGTGGAGTCGCCAGGGGGGGGTGGGGGGGGAGGGGGTCCCAGGTGAGGGTGCCAGGGGGGTCTCGTCACCTGGAGGAGCTCAGGTACTCCCCCGAGGGCTCGCTGCTCACGCGGGGCCCGGCGCTTATAAGATCCCAGGTGAAGTCGCCAGGGGGAGGGTGGGGGGAGCGCGGGGGTCTCGTCACCCTGGAGGAGCTCAGGTTACTCCCCGAGGGCTCGCTGCTCACGCGGGGGCCCGGCGCTTATAAGATCCCAGGTGAGTCGCCAGGGAGGGGTGGGGGGAGGGGGGTCCCAGGTGAGTCGCCAGGGGGTCTCCGTCAGCCTGGAGGAGCTCAGGTACTCCCCCGAGGGCTCGCTGCTCACGCGGGGGCCCGGCGCTTACAAGATCCCAGGTGAGTCGCCAGGGGGAGGGGTGTGGTGTGTTTAAAATTTTTTTTTTTTTTTTTTTTTTTTGTTTTTTATGTTTGTTGAAAGTTTGTTGTTGTTGGTGTTTTTGGGTGTTAGAATAAAGTTATTGTTCTTTTTGTTATTGATTTTGTTTTTGTTATTGTTCTTTTGTTTGTTGTTTTTTATTATTTTTGTTTTTTGTGTTATTGTCATTGTTATTTTTTTATGTTTTTGTTATCATTAATGTTGTTACTATTGTTGTTGCTTTTGTGTTATTGCTATTGTTTTTTGTTGTTGGCTTTTTTTTCTCATGTTTTTGTTGTTGCTTTTGTTTTCTTGTTTTTGTTGTTGTTTTGTTTTCTCTTGTTTTTGTTGTTGCTTTTGTTTTTTTCTTGTTTTGTTGTTGCTTTTGTTTTTCTTGTTTTTTTTGCTTTGTTTTTTTAATTTTTTTTGTTTGCTTTGTTTTTTTTTCTGTTTTTGTTTTGTTGCCTTTGTTTTTCTTGTTTTGTTGTTGCTTTTGTTTTTTTTTTTGTTCTTTTGTTTTTTCTTGTTTTGTTGTTGTTTTGTTTTTTTCTTGTTTTTGTTGTTGCTTTTGTTTTTTCTTGTTTTTGTTGTTGCTTTTTGTTTTCTCTTGTTTTGTTGTTTGCTTTTGTTTTTTCTTTGTTTTGTTGTTGCTTTTGTTTTTTGTTTTGTTTTGCTTTTGTTTTTTCTTTTTTTTTGTTGTGCTTTTGTTTTTTTTTTGTTGTTTTTGTTTTGTTTTGTTGTTGCTTTTGTTTTTTCTTTTTGTTGTTGCTTTGTTTTTTCTTGTTTTTTCTTTTTGTTTTTTTTGTTTTGTTTCTTTTGTTTTGTTTTGTCTTTGTTTTTCTTGTTTTGTTGTTGCTTTTGTTTTTTCTGTTTTTGTTGTTGCTTTTGTTTTCTTGTTTTTGTTGTTGCTTTTGTTTTTTCTTTTTTTGTTTTGTTTTTGTTTTTTTTTTCTTGTTTTTGTTGTTGCCTTTTGTTTTTTGTTGCTTGTTTTTGTTTTGTTGTTGCTTTTGTTTTTTCTTGTTTTGTTGTTGCTTTTTGTTTTTTCTTGTTTTGTTGTTGCTTTGTTTTTTTTCTTGTTTTGTTTGTTGCTTTTGTTTTTCTTGTTTTGTTGTTGCTTTTGTTTTTTCTTGTTTTGTTTGTTTGTTGTGTTTGTTTTCTGTTTTTTCTTGTTTTTTGTTGTTCTTTTGTTTTTTTCTTGTTTTGTTGTTGCTTTTTGTTTTTTCTTTTGTTTTGTTTTTGTTTGTTTTTGTTGTTGCTTTTGTTTTTCTTGTTTGTTGTTGCTTTTGTTTTTTCTTGTTTGTTGTTGCTTTTGTTTTTTCTTTTTTTGTTGTTGCTTTGTTTTTTTTTCTTGTTTTTGTTGTTGCTTTTTTGTTTTTTTTTGTTTTTTGTTTTGTTTTGTTTCTCTTGTTTTTGTTGTTTTGTTTTGTTTTTTCTTGTTTTTGTTGTGCTTTTGTTTTTTGTTGTTGTTGCTTTTGTTTTTTTCTTGTTGTTGCTTTGTTTTTTCTTGTTTTGTTGTTGCTTGCTTGTTTTGGTTGCTTTTGTTTTTTCTTGTTTTTGTTGTTGCTTTTGTTTTTTTTCTTTGTTTTGTTGTTGCTTTTGTTTTTTCTTGTTTTTGTTGTTGCTTTTGTTTTTTCTTGTTTTTGTTGTGCTTTTTGTTTTTTTTGTTTTTGTTTTGCTTTTTGTTTTTCTTGTTTTTGTTGTTATCCTTAATGCTGTTATTGTTGTTCTTTTTGATGTTATTGTAATTATTGTTGTTGCTTTTGTTTTTTGTTGTTGATGTTTTTGTTGTTATCATTAATGTTGTTATTATTGCTGTTGTTCTTTTTGTTGTTATTGTTATTATTGTTGTTTTGTGTGTAGGTTATTACTGATTGTTGTTTTTGTGTTATATTATTGTTTATTGTATTGTTATCGTTTATGTGTAGGTTATTACTGATTGTTGTTTATGTACGTTTTTTGATCTTATACACATTTCTTTTAGTGTCGTTATTATTTTTTATCGTTGTTTATGTATTTTTTTTCAAATTCTATATACATATGCTCATGGAAGGATGAGTGGACAGGGATATTTGGGGTATATTGCATTAAATGATTTTGTTTTTCGTATTTTTTGATGAGCTGATATTCCTTAAAAATTGGTCATAATCAGTAAAATTAACCCGCTTGGCGTTTTTTTTTTTTTTTTTTTTTTTTTACTATGTTGTGGTTCATTCTCTCTCTCTCTCTCTCTCTCTCTCTCTCTCTCTCTCTCTCTCTCTCTCTCTCTCTCTCTCTCTCTCTCTCTTCTCTCTCTCTCTCTCTTTCATACAACTCTTCTTCTTCTCCTCTCTGTCTGTCTATCTGTCTGTCTCTCTCTGTCTGTCTGTCTGTCTGTCTGTCTCTCTTCTCTCTCTCTCCTCTCTCTCTCTCTCTCTCTCTCTCTCTCTCTCTCTCTCTCTCTCTCTCTCTCTCTCTCTCTCTCTCTCTCTCTCTCTCATCTATGCGACACATATTTCTTGTATGATAATAGCGTGATTTTTATTCATAATATATCGTGATCTGACAGACGTAGAAGGTTTAATGAGCGTGTAATCAAATATTTATCTGTCTGTCTGTTTGTCTTTCCTTCCCCTGCTCCCTCCCTCCCTCTTTCCTCCTTCCTTCCTTCTTCCTCTCTCCTCTCCTCTCTTCTCTCTCCTTTCTCTCTCTCTCTCTCCTTCTCTCTTCTCTCTCTCCTTCTTTCCTTCCTTCCTTCCTCTTTCCCTCCTTCCTTTTTTTCCTCCCTATTCCCCTTCCTCCTTCCTTCCTTCCTTCCATCCTTCTTCCCTCCCTCTCTTCTCTCCCTCCCTCTTTCCCTTTCCTCCCTCCTTCCCTCTTTCCTTTCCTCTCTCTCTCTCTCTCTCTCTCTCTCTCTCTCTCTTCTCTCTCTCTCTCTCTCTCTCTCTCTCTCTCTCTCTTCTCTCTCTCTCTCTCTCTCTCTCTCTCTCTCTCTCTCTCTCCCTCCCTTCCCTCCTCCCTCCCTCCCTCCCTCCCTCCTCTCCCTCCCCTCCTCCTCCTCCTCCCTCCCTTTCCTCCTCCCTCCCTCTTTCCTTCTCCCTCCTCCCTCCCTCCTTTCCTTCTCCCTCCTCCTCTTTCCTTTCCTCCTCCCTCCCTCTTTCCTTCCTTCCTACCTCCCTCCTTTTCTTCTCCCTCCTCTTTTCCTTCCCACTCCCTCCCTCCCTCTTTCCTTCTCCCTCCCCTCCCTCCCTCCTTTCCTTCTCCCTCCCTCGAAATCAGCATTTATTTCATTTACCTCATTTATTTCATTAATTTCATTTATTTCATTTATTTCATTTATTTCATTTATTTCATTTATTTCTCTCTTTTCAGGTTTCCAAGATATCCCGTGCGAGTTCCACGTGTCTCTGCTGAAAGACGCGCCAAATCCGCTGGCAATTTTTTCCTCGAAGGTGAGTTTCCCGCGTAAATTAGTCCCTCGTCTGTAAAGTCTTTCATTTGCAGGCGTTCGAATGAGAAATAAAATGGATTCATCCTCAAAACTCTTTTTTTCTATAGTTGAAGGGATTTTACTTTTGTTTTTCTTTTTTTTGGTGTTAATTTTTTTTTTTTTTTTTTTTAGTTAAAGAGATGTTTGTTTGGTTGGTTGTTTTGGTTAAGGGAATTTGTTTTCCTTTTTTTTAGGTAAAGAGTTTTTTTTTCTTTTTTTAGTTATTTTTTTTTTTTTTTTTTAGTTAAAGAGAAGAAATTGTTATGATTCTTCGCTATTGCCGATCCAGAATTTTCCACGTAAAAAAAAAGAAAAAAAAGTCTTCAATCCGCCATTCTTGCAACTATATTTTGTACTAATCAGTATAAATTCACAACAAAATGAATTATTCTATTAATTTAAAGTTAAAGGTACGACGAAACAAAAATAAAGGGAAATAGAATTAAAAAGTGCATTATCCGGAATTATTTTTCCGGAAAAAACTACCATAATTTCGCTACAAAATAAACTGCACATTTAAGTTATAGACGTTAAGTTACGACGAAAAAAAAAAACAAAAAAAAACATCAGCTGTACTTATTGGTTCGTAAAAGTAACGTAAATCCTCTTCGAAATAAAAGCAAAACTTCCATAGACATAAACAAGACACCCTAAAATAATAATAATAATAATAATAATAATAATAATAATAATAATTATGCAAAGATAATAAAAAATGAAAAATAATAATGAATAAAATAAAAAAAGGATGATAATAAAAATGATAAATAAAATAAAATGGGGATAATAAAAAAATAATAATAATAAAAGAAATAAAAAATAAGATGTTAATAATAAACAAAATGAAAATGATAAATCAAATATTTTTTATAAATAATAGAATAATAATAATAACAATAATAATAGTAATAATAATAAAAATAATAATGCTGATGATGATGATAATAATAATAACAATAATAATAATAATAATAACAATAATAATAACAATAATAAAAATATTATTAATACTAATAAATAATAATAATAGTAAAAAAAAAAACATTAGACCCTCCATCTCCCCCTCTCCTCCCAGGGCGTGGGCGAGCCTCCCCTGCTGCTGGCGACGTCGGTGTTCCAGGCGATCAAGGACGCCGTCGGGGCAGCCAGGGAGGACCAAGGACTCGGCCGCGCGTTCCGGTTTGATTCTCCCGCCACGGCAGAGCGCGTCCGAATCGCCTGCCAGGGACCGTTCGTTCGGAAGGTGAGGTTTGGAGTTCGGGTTTGATTTTTTTTTTTGGGGGGGGTTATTTTATTTTATTTGGGTTGTTTTTGTTTTGGAGGGGGTATAAAGAGAGCGTATAAATATAGGATATATATATATTATATAATCTATCTCTCTCTCTCTCGTCTCTCTATATATATATATATATATATATATATATATATATATATAATATATATATATATATATATATATATATATATATATATATATATATATATATATATATATATATATATATATATATATATATATAAGCCCACGATGCACAAACTAGATTTATTTAAATAAGTGAGACAACAGTTTCGGAATCGTCCTCGATTCCATTTTCGGGTCTGAAGGGGAAGGGGAGAGGAAGCAGTATAAGAGAGATAGAAAAGAGAAGCACCGCAGAAAACACGGGGCAGATGAGGACAGGAGAACGGAAGGGAGGTCAGGTCAGGTCGAAGGATTAGGCGTTCTATGTGAAGGGTGACCGGCATACGGAAGAAGGCAGAGGATGTGGGAAGTGAGGAAACCATCGGCAGGAGAAAAACCGCTGTTCAGGTTGAAATTGGGCAGCAGCATCAAGCAAAAGGATGTGGATATCCAATGCTGCTGACCAAGCCATCCGATGGCCTGTGTCCCTCTGATGGCAGAAGGGAGCACTGTTGTTTTGTCCCCTGGATACAGTGTATTTATGTTGAGAGATATGCTTAGTAAGACTGGCGCCTGTTTCACCAAAATACTGCTTGTCACAGGAAGCACACGGAACAGCAAAGGTGCCCACCTTCGAGGTAGAGGGAGGGCAGGTGTGAACCGAATTACGATGGAAGGTGTTCACCTGCTGAAAGGTGAGTCTGCAGTTGAGAGGCTGCAGGGGCCGACGGAAAGAGCAGACCTCCTCAGTGTAGAAGAGGAGTCGTTGTAGAAGCTACGACGCGCTCTGGATAACGCCCAGTTTTGGAGAATGAACGACGTAGGATATCGATCTCTCCATCCAAGTACTGAGGGTCACAGATGCGGAGGGCGCGAAGGAAGAGCGAGGTGGCACCTCCTCTCCACATGAAGTGGACGGCGCGAGAAGTGTGTATGTATATACCACTGTCCATAGGTTTCCTGTATATAAATGAGAAGTGGTGGGCAGAGCGATGGCCAAGCGTCCAAGAAGGGGAGCTTGTTGTCAACCTCCCATTCTACCTTGAAACAGATGGAAGAGAGAGAGTTCAACTGCGACAGGAAATCAGGAAATGTGACTCAGAGTAACCATCATATCACACAAACTAAGCATACTACAGTGGAACATATGTAGCTATAACAGAAACGCTCTTTTCTCCAATCAATAGTGCGAGCAAGGAACATTGACATCGTCATGCTCCAAGAAACATTAACAGTGGGCAGTGTTCGCTTCTCAGGATATCATGTCTTCAGCTCTCCAAGCCTGGATAGCACTAGAGGCTTGATGACCCTAGTCAAAGCAACATTCCCATACTCCTTAATAATCTTCTGCTGCTGAGATCCACCTGCCAGGGGGCCCCCTCAAACTATACGATGTGTGCAACAAACCAGCTTAAATATAAACCAGATCTGTTACTGCAGCACAAGCCCGAACGATTATAGGGGGGAGACATCAATGCACATCTGTCTATGCTGGTTCCCCGTAGGAGGCCAAATGCGGCAGGCATTCACATACCAGACATGGTTGACACATTCCCTGAGATCACTTCTCAACACCCAAGAACCAACGCATGTGAAGGGAGAGGTCTTGGACTTTACCTTTGCCACTGCAACAATGGTGGAGAGAATTCGGTGGTGTGTCGATGGAACCGTTAGGAGTGATCACTATGGCACAGGCACTACCCTCTTGGATGCTGGTCCAGCCCAAAGACCACAACACATCCCCAAATGGAAAAAAGACGAAGCCAACTGGCAAGCCCTCCGGAAGAGCTTGGCCCGCTGTCTTAGAACCAATGAACCTCCACACAGTGAAAATGTGGATGTGCTCGAGGTAAGACTTGTTGAGACCATAAATCAGGCAGCCTCTCAGACCATACCCAAAACTCGCCCATGGTCCAGAACTCACAAAGACGCCTGGTACTATGATGGCGAGGTCAAGGAGGTCAACCACAGAGTCAATATGTGCAGAAGAAACTTCCGACGATAAAGAACTCACAACTTGGCCTTCTTGAGGGAAGCTGCTGGGGATGCCAAGGAAACCGCCAAGAGAGTCAGGCAAGAAAAGTGGCTGAAATGGTGCGAGTCCTTTGGCTACCAGACCACCTCTCACAGCTGTGGAAACGGGTCAGGCGAGCTACCATCCGCCAATCCACGAGATGCACGCAGCATGACCCGCAATCAGAGTCACACAGGCTGGTGCTCGAGTTCTCGGCCAGAACCAGCAGCAACAGCCTGCCTCCTTGAGTTGAGGGAAAAACAACGCCTAAATCCAGGCATGCTTGCACTCCAAAAGCACTCCAACCTGATGACTCGGATGCCATGTTCTTCCTCAGGATAAAACCAGTTCTGGATCATCACCTGGCTCTGATGGAATCTCCTACACCATCATCTCAAACTTAGGTCTTGGGTCTTGCAAGAGATCTTGCATTTCTGCAGCCCTGGCAAACTGCCAAGCTACCCCAAAGCTGGTGAAAAGCTGTAATAGTTCCCATCCCAAAACCAAAGGAGCCAGGCAGGTACCAACCCATTTCTCTCCTCATCTGTCTGGGCAAAACAGCTGAGAAGACGATTAAATTGTTTCCGATGGAAAATGGGACCCCCTCATGAACACCTGCATGGGTTCACCAGGGGCATAAGCACAGCACATGGCATCACCACATTCCTAAGTACAGTATGCACTACTCCCTCCGTGGCTGTATTCCTAGATCTGGAGAAGGCTTTTGAATTAGCAAGTCCTCTTGTCATTTAAGAGACCCTAATCCACATGGGAATCTTGGCCTGGATAGATGACTCTCAACAACAGAACAAATGTCAGATTTCAGGGTCACTTATAGCAGCACATGCCATCAAAAATGGAATGCCACAGGACCATCTCTTATGCAGACGATCTAGCAATCACTATAAATCACCATAGCCCAGCTTGTCTTTACCTTGTGTCTGAACAGTGTTGCAGGACGGGTTTAAAGATTTCAGCAGCAATTCTGGTAACCGCCAGCCCAGACTGAAGCTAGTGGAGCAAAGCCCAAGGGAACCACACCGTTCGGGGGGCGACTAGTGGGGCTCAGGTTGGGAAAGTGAATTACCCGTCCTGCCTGCGCTTTGGCAGCCGGCACCCCATTGCGAGGCCTGTGGGGCAAAACCCTCGGGAACTCCACAGGCGGATGATGGGCCCCACAGCCTGCCGCCCCCTTTTATATGGGGTAGTGTTTGCGGGAGTGGCAGAGGTGGTGTCCACCCAGAGTGACTGCCTGAGGCTAAACCTCAGACGGGAAATCAGGGTGGGGGCTTGGAATATCCGCTCTTTGCGTCAGGATGAATGAATGCCTTTGCTGTCGAGGGAAATGGGGAGGTTGAGAGTTGGGGTGGCTGCTCTCTTAGAGGTAATAAGACCTGGCAGCTGCCCTATCAGCAGCGACGGTCACCATCTTCAGGGAGTTGCCATAGCCATCTCCAGCAGATTCCAGCAATTGGTAGTAGAGGTTACTCCGGTTGATGAGCGTATAATGGTATAGAGATTGAAACTAGCATTTGGCTTCATGTCTCTTATTGCTGTGTATGCTTTTACCGACGTTTGTAAATTCGACGTGAAAGAGATATTCTACCCCAAACTTGCTTCTGTGTCAGACAGTTGTCCCCGGCTAGATATTCGTATTGTTCTGACTTGAATGCAGTATATGACTGTTATCGAGCGGGTTATGTGATGTTTGTCAGTCCCCATGGTTCAGGAGCTGATGCCGGCAGATAGAATAGCCTCCTTTTCCGGGACTTTGCAAGGTCCCCTAATCTGTCCAGGTAAACTACTCGAGAATGGCCACTGGAGAACTCACAGGCTCGCTACAACCAATCTATGGTCAGTGCCACAGAACTTGGCACTCCTGTAAACCCTGCAGTTCTGAAGGATTCTCCAGAGAGTGCTAATAAGGATGTGGGCAATCTTCTTGGCCACAATATCCGTATTGAAGAATTAGACCACTGATTCCAGGAGACAGAAATCCTCATTTTCTGGAACCTAGCAGTCTTGGAGAACGAGGCTGCTCTTGCTTCCGAGATCAGCTCCCGAATCATGGGGACTGACAGTCATCTTGTAGCCAGCTCAATCACAGCTGGATACCGCATTGAAGTCGCCCAGTACAATGTGAATGTCACGCTGGGAGCATTTGTCTCCCCCAGATGTGAGTTTGACATAGAACGCCTCTTACACATTGAGTTTACATGCATCGATAGGAGCGTACACAGCAATAAGAGACAAAACCAAAAGCGTGCTTTAGTCTCAATGGCATAATATACTCATCAACTTAAGACACCTCTACTACCGAAGGTTGAAGTCGGCTGGAGATGGCTATGCTACTCCCTGGAGATGATGGCCATCACCCCGGCCCGACCAGTAATAGGTGTATCCACCCATACTGATCGTGATGCTGCCAGGTCTCCTCACCTCAGAGAGGGCAGCCACCTCAACTCCCAGCCACTTCAGTGGGTAATCTCTCATCCTGCCATAAAGACCAGATGTTCCAAGCTGCCACCCGAACAGCCCGCTTTGGGTTAAACCTCTGGCAGTTACTCTGGGCAATTGCCTCTGCCTCATCCACCTGTGGAGTCCCCAAGGGTTTTGCCCCACAGGCCTCACAATGGGGTGGCGGCTGCCAAAGTGCAGGCGTGATGAGTAATTCACATTCCCAACCTGAGCCCCAACAGTTGCCCTCCCCACGGGACCCACAGCCCACCTCACTTGCTGGGTGGGAGGGGCAGTTTCTCCTCTTCTCTCCTCAGCATTTCCATTTATATTTTGCACTGCCGACTGGTTTTGCCTGGGGTGGGAGGAGGACTGGTAAGGCCTGCCTACCCCAAGCCTCCCATTTATCCCAGGGGACTAAGGGGCAAGAGTTGGTATAGAGCCAAGGCGTCAATACACCGGTGGGCCAGAACTCAGTATCTTTGGGTCCTCCTGCTGCTCCGAGATTTCCCATAGGTGGCCATGAGGAGGCACTGCTGAAGTCTCGATGGAGGAGAGGCTATGAACTGGCAGGGGAGTCTTCTGCAGAGCTGCTCCCCTTTTCACACTATGTATATGTTTAAATATATATATATGTATATATATCTATCTATCTATCTGTCTATATATATATATATATTATATATATATATATAATATATATATATATATATATATATATATATATATATATATATATATACCATATAATATATATATACATAAATATATGTATGCATAAATATATATATACATAAATATATTATATATATATATTATATATATATATATATATATATATATATATATATTATATATATATATATATATATATATATATATATATATTATATATATATATATATATATATATATATATATATATATATATATATATTATATATATAATATATATATATATATATATTTATATATATATATATATATATATATATATATATATATATATATATATATATATATATATATATATATATATATATATATATATATATATATATATATGTATAATATATATATATATATATTATAATATATATATATATATATATATATATATATATATAATATATATATATATATATATATATATATATATTATATAGTATATATATATATATATATATATATATATATATATATATATATATATATATATATATATATATATATATTATAATATATATATATATATATATATATATATATATATATATATATATATATATATATATATATATATAATATATATATATATATATATATATATATATATATATATATATATATATATATATATATATATATATATATATATATATATATATTATATATATATATATATATGTATACATATATATTTATCTACTTTATATACTTATGTACTTTACATACATATATGCTACAAATAAGATATTTTCTGTTGACTCATGATTATGGAGAGGCTTCTTTGTATTCATTTGCATTTATTTTCTCCTTCAGATTCCTCCTGGGGAACTCGGGTCTAAGAAGCCATGGTCAGTGACAGTGTAAAATTCGTGGAGTTTGTTTAATTGTTTTTCATGGTTTTATTAATGACTCAAATTTTCCCTTCGTCTCTTCGTCTTTTGTGTTCTGTGCGTTTATTGTTTATATGTTTCTGTTGAGTTATATGACAGCTTTTTTTTCTAAGAAAGATGTTATTATTATTATTTTTTTTTTTTTTTTTTTTATACAAGGATAGACATTGTTTCAGTACTTGCGTATATATGCATTTGAATTTAGAATATTCTTTGGTGACCTGATCTACCTACCTACCTATTAATATAAGTGTTTTTTTCTTAACTATCTTAAGTACATTCATAGTCTTAAAGAAAAAAAAAATGCATATTCTTTCATGCTTGATAATTGAAAATAATTTTTAAGTTCTGGTACAGTTCTAGCTGTACAGGTATTTGAAAATATTTACTTTTATGTTTGAGTTTAGATTTAGTCTTGGTATGAAAGGATTATTTTCTCCATTGCTATCTCATTGATTCAATGCTATCAGTAATTGTATTTGTCTGATGTGCTTTCTAAATAAAGTGTTTCAAATGGAAGAAGCTCTATATCAATAATCCCCGAAAATTTATTACACATAGAGGGTTTAATAAATATGCGTATTAATGATGGCTTGTATGAGAAAGTGTTTCCAAACTTGATAGCTAAAAATGAAAAATAGAATAAGGAAATCCTAGGCACATTTTGCAAGTTAGTTATCCACTGTACGGACAGAAACTCAACCATGACATTTCTAAGAACCATTATCAGTTTAGGAAAGGAAAAAAAATGACTAATATCATTGTGCTGTATATTATCTCATAGAAATACATAAATTAACGTCATAAAAATACACAAGTTGTTTCCTATCATATCTCATTATTGATTATCAATAATGCCTGTCATAGGCAAATGGTAAAAAAGTAATACATTATAATCTACAATTTTAAATACAAATGTATTACAATGTGGTGGTGACAAATAAAAATGGAATGTAACAGCAAGTTGTCATTTGATTGTCCTTCATCAAAATTACATGAATAGTTTACATTAAAATCTTTTCAACAATGTAGATCTTTTCCCCCAAATAACTTAAACACTTCAAAACATGTTAATACACAATAATAAAAAAATGCTCAACTGAATTCCTTTGAGCACATTATAAGTGTGTTAAAATAAAAGCCATATCAGTATGGAATCAGCTTTCTGAATTTTTCTTTCTGCTTACCTTAAAAGGTATAAAAATTTGTGGACTCTTTGTCTATAAGTACTTTTTCTTTTGCAAACAACTTCTCTTGATCTTAAGAATTTTGAAAAGAAATTGCATTACAAATGTACAAAGAAAATTAAGAAAACTGTGGTGGATATTTTTTTAAATTTTCATAACAAAATATTTTCACAAACTCATAACCATTAGAATTCAATCTGACACGTAATTAATAATCACATCAAAGAGAAAAGTAAAAACTGGATGGATCTTACCACACAACATAGGACACACTCCCAAACATTTGCATTTAAAAAAAAAGAAAAGAAAAATACACTAAAACAGAATGCTGATCCAGATATGGCCTATAATGAGTATACTGTTAAGTGGAGGTTTCATGGACAAGTTTACAAGTTTCAAGATCAATCAAATTACCCAAAGCCTTTTGAATTACAAACCAACTTTTGGCGTCACGGAAACAAATGGGAAAAAATCTCACAGATCTGGGAATGATCTACTGCAAGCTATTCTAATATATGCGTGAAAGACTTCATAGCACAATCCTGGAGGGTGAATGGCTGATATGCAAAGACTGGCTTACATAGAATAGGTTCTGCTATTGTCATTCAACATAATACAGGATGTTGCATCAAAGGCATAATCATTGTATGTATTGTCTGACACTCTTAAAGCCTATATAACAATAGCACAAGAAGCAGGTGGTATTGTATACTGTCAAACCTGCATCTCACAAATATATATGGATTTCATACATAAACAAACAAACAAAATTGTTAGAAAATTGGAAGTTTTTTTCCTAACAAACCTCTTATGCAATTCATGTACGTGCATTTGGAAGCATATACATTTATGGAAGAGGGAAATAACGAGACAAAGATAAAAAATAAATATAAAGATAAAAAAAGTAATATGCTTCTGAGCATGAACTTCACAATAAAAATGTTTAAAAAATCTGAACTAAAATACAAAAATTTAGTCTTTCACATAATAATCAAAATGCATCCTTCAGAAACAAAAATTATTTCATATACATTAAAATCAGTGGATCAAAATGACTCAATATAGGTAGAATACGTTAGGCAGGATTTGTTTCACTCTATCACAATTATAAGGTGTCAAGCATAAAGTTCTTTTTCCAGGGTGGACTTCAAGTATGATGTATGCTGGAGGTACACCAGCTGACCTTAAGCTGTTTGTCATAATTTTAGCCTAATAACAATGGGGAAAATTTTGGGTAAAGTTAAGTGAGAATGAGCATTCATAAGTGTGCAGTGTTTTGCACCTGGGTGATTGCCTGGCCTGTGGGGGAGCTTGTAAGAGCTAACCTTTTGACTGGGACACAGATGTACAATGTGATGAGGCTTCACCTGTTATCTATAACTATTCACTATGATATGATGGCATGTCAGCCATTGCTAATGGATTGAGCCAATGTTAAAAGCAAGACAATACATACCACATTCATAAGCATTCCATACTACAGTGCAAACAAAGAACTTGGACTGTATTAAGGCCTGTCCACACAAACAAGCATGATTGGGAGGCACATGGCTGGGCATGAGCAGAGATGACATCACGGATGGGTAAACTTCTAAGTAAACAAGCGGTTTCCCCATTGAATTCAAGCCAGTGATGTCACCTTTACCATTGCCCGCCAATGTGTCCGCTGATCATGCCCCCTTGTGTGGACAGGCCTTTAGAAGACAACACAGCCAAGTCATATGCTGAAAGAAAAGCCAGCCATTTGGCTTGGTACAATTTATGATACTCTCATGGCTGTTGGCTGTGCATGACTGGAGGGCTAGTTCACACAAAATCTCTGGCACAACATGCTTGGATTCCACCCTGGACCACTTTACTAATTTGCTTAACTAAAGCAGAGTTTACTGCTACAAGTGAGCCTCTGACTATAAGTTTGAAAAATCAGCTTTAATCACCTAGCAAACTCCTACCAAAGAGCAACCTCAATTAAGTACAAACAGCAACATGAGTAAAGTCAGACCCAAAATAAATTTGATTGCATCTATCTACCTCTAATGATCCTGCTTATGCATTGGTCAAATGTAAAAAAAAAAAAAAAAAAATCTTATCCTAAAAGCTTCATGACTTAGAACTAAAAGTTATGTCTAATCAGCATTACAATATCATAATGTTGGAACACATTATTTGCAACTTGTAATACAGTACCAACTGACTAAATCTGATGCAAATTCAATATCTGCTTAAACTATGTTACGTCAAGAACTGACCACTAATTTATTAATACTGAAATACATCATTGGCATGCAGATGGAGAATATGATGAGCATTAAGCTGGAAAGACTGCTATCACACAGTGTGTGTGTGTGCTAAGTGCATATCCTTGTGCAAGGCTGATTCCTTTGGTCAACAGTGAAGTTAAATCCTTGGATACATATACATAGATTCATCACGGGATGCAAAACATTGCGCAACCTTGGCTTCTCTCAACTTGCAAGTGGACTTTTCGCCACTACCCAACCTTGGTTCCATTCAACTTGATTACTCTGTTGTCCTTCAGCATAGTGAGCTCCAACATAATGCTAAATATTCATACTGTCCTCCAAATTCATAACCCAAGGCAATATTGAGGGGTTTGAGGAAAACCAGTGTATATCATTACACGTGATCACATAAACATATGTATGTTGGTATGTGCATATATATGTAGCTGCATTTTATTCTTTGCAGCCTTGACTTTAGTTCAACACGACAAAATTTGATCAAATCACACGTAAGCTACAATCACATTTGGACTCAATTTCTGCAGTAAGGACAACTCTCAGAGAGCATGCGTATACTAGCCTTTTAATAAAACGGCTTTCACTACCATCACCATTCATTCTCTGATTCCAGACTTTCCCTTAACAATAATAGTAATAATAATAACAATAATGACAAAAAAAAAAGAAAAAAAAAAAAAAAAAAAAAAAAAATAAATAAATAATAATAATAACTGAAAAAAGGAGACACAGTGATAGACATGAAAAGATTTCTAATAGACCAAGTAATAACATCAGTAATGATACAGTATCAATAATAATAAAAATAATAATAATAATAATAATAATAATAAAAATGACAGTAATAATAATAATAATAACACCAATATTAATGATAATAATGACATTAAAAATAACAACAATAATAATAATACAATCAATAACAAAAATAATTACAAATACAATTGTATCACAATAAACAATAAAAAACTACAGGACCAAGAACAGTAGTAGTAGTAATAGTAATGGTACCAAAGGTAATAGTAGTAGTATCAAAGTAGTAGTAGTGGTAGCAGTAGTAGTAATAGCAATATGGATAAGAGCAACTGATAAAACAAAGAAGCACTACATTATTATCACGATCATTAATATTCTTGGTAACAGCAGTGGCATTATGGCAATAATAACAATAATGGTAATAATGGTGATGACAATAATAATAATAATAATAATAATAATAATAATAATAATAATGATAATAATAATCAAAATCATAATAAAAATAACAAGAATAATAATGA